CAAAATAATTAAAGTTTTTCACAAAGAAAAGGATATCAAAATTTCTAAAAAGAATATTGGAGATATTAAAACACAGTTGAAAAATTCTACATCTGATTTGAAAAAAACCAAACGTAGTTTATAATATACCATGTAATAATTGTGATTTGAATTATATTGGAACAACTTCCAGAACATTATCAAGCAGAATAACTTCACACAGAAGTGATATAAGATTAAACAAAAAATATGTCCAAAAGGCTTTTTCAGGAAATGGCCCTTAATCATAGGTATAAAATTCATTCAATGAGCATTTATGAAATAGAAATATTTTCAATGATATGTCACTCTTGTCATTACAGTAGACTTTGAACATGACATCACTAATATCAGATATCTGAAAATGGCATTATTAACATCAATGCGCCAGTTTTGTGAATTTGCAACTGTATAAATATTGCTCACCTTGCTGCAAAAGGTGATGTTTACTCCGGGACTACAATGGTTTGAAAGTATTTATTTTTTATCATATGTTTGTTTTTATTCTCACTTAGAATTTTCATTTGATTCGGATTTTTTACTTGTTGTTTTTTATAGTCAATTCTTCACTGCTAATTTATAACATTGATAGCTTGTGAGAAAATGCACTTAGATATCAAACCTTTTATCTTTCCTATTCCAAACACTATGAAACTGTACCTTCTGCTATTTATCCTACAAAAAAAACTTGCAGTTCTGTTTATTCAGCTAAAAACAGTGGCAGATGAAAATGGCTAGTCACTGGACACTATCTATTGAGAGGACAGCTGAACAAAATAGAGCTATATGATGGAGAACTTAGCTGCATATAATGCAATAACGAGTTGAGAGTCAACTCTTATGTTTCATGTTAATGCGAGGCACTGGATCGTTGGAGGTAAACAATTTGTGGACAGTTCAAATTATGTTCAAAGTATAAAAAACATGCCACAAAGAACCTGTATGAACTAGTACAAAGAACTAGAATGTTGGAAAGTGTGTCAGGAAGAGATGGGAGGAAAAACACAATCTACTCATGAAGCTGCGGTTTTGAAAAAATGGATAAGCCCGATGACTCCCAAGTAGAAAAAAAAAAAGGAATAAAGTCATAATTTCAGTATGGCTTAATGCTTTGTCAATAAGAATTTTGTTCTTGAATGATATTCGAGAGTATAATTGATGTACTATTTCAAATGCTCACGCTGTTTGTTTCGTTAGGCTTCTACAAAACTTTTATCCTAATCTTTTATGTATATTAATAATAATAAAACTGCACAATAAATAATTGTCGGAAAAAAATTAAAATTTTCAATTCTGAAGCAGACAAAATATATTAAATAGTTCTTTGGTAACAAGAATAACATTTTGAAAAGTTTCACAATAAATTTCAAATAACCAATATGCCAATGAAAATACACTAATCAAAATTACAAGTTCAATCGAGGGTTTACAAACAATTGGTAACTCATATTGCCCACCCTCAATTCATTCAGCATTAGAGTTATATATTTTTTTTTGGAAATAGTCAATTTTCCGAAAATCAATCAAAAATAGAGCATTGAAAATACATATTTTCTCACATTTATTGTTTCCGGTCAACGGAAACGACTCTCTAAATTTTTATTTCGAGTTCTCATTACTTCAACTTTGATTGTTTGGTAATAAATTATCAAGCAATATCCACTCATCATTTCATGACAATATCTCTGCTTTTTAACCAATGTTATTTATAAAAATGAATACCTTGGATGTTTAATATCAAATAATTTGAACTTAGAGCAGCGATACTCAACCTGTGGCCTTTTCTATGCTGCCCTCTGGCGGCTCTAGCCTTTTCTGCAGCCTGAAGGCTAATACAATATTTTTAGATTATTCAACAATAGTATTTTCTGATAACGACACAAAAATGTGTAGGGGTTTTTGACCCAAATCGAATACTGTGGTCGAACACTGGAAAGCCTAGTGTTCTGATACTCGCGAATGGTGTTGGCAAGACTGAGAGATAAACAAACATGAAGAATCTGTTTAAAATCTGTTTTTACGTTAATCAGCCGTCGCCCCATACGAACGACAACTCTCAGAAGTTGAGAAACAGGTGCGAGCTAAGGGCTAACGAGGTCTTACCTTTTAACGTGTGATTCCTAACACGGTTGCAGAATCATCCCAGCTTCAACCAGATAAATTCTCTCGAGAAAAATATCTGGTGGAGGCAGGAATCGAACCGACGGTCTTCCGATCGTGAGTCGGGCGCACTACCACCGCGGAAATTAGTACCGGATAACTACAAAACGCTCAAAAATTGCGTACACTTGCTCCTCGCCTTGTTTGCGTTAACTTACCTGTGCGAATCCTCATATTAAAAAATGAAATATGCGAAAAATGTTTATAGATCCCGACTAAGTGATTCGCACCTGGACGACGTTTTGAGAGTAGCATGTAGTAATTATGTGCCAGATTTTATCAGAAATTGTAAATAGTTTGCGTCAATGTCAATCATCACATTAATTTTTAAATAAATGGTTTATTTTTACAGTTGCATTTTATTGTATGACACAACTCTAATGACACAAAACCTGAAAGTAGTTTGTTCAGTTCCGTTTTATTATTGCGGCCCGCAAGATCTAGCAGTAGCGACTATGTGGCCCAAAGGGAAAAAAGGTTGAGTACCGCTGACTTAGAGTAATATTCGAATTCAAACATTCAGCTGCTCATGTAGTTTGTGACTAGTTTGGTGTATTGATGATTTTCAAATATTCACAGATTCATTTAATATTTCATCAATACAATCAATTATCAAGAGACATAAAACGGTCCATATTCAAATGAAAGCTGCCAAGGGTATAAGCAAGTTTCAAGTGGGCCTTGGAATATTCTACTTTTGGACATGAGAAGAATTTTCCAAATTGTGGCGTTTTCTCAAGTATGGAAGGCCCTTAAGACTAATTCTGAATAGGGGTCCGTTCAAGTATTACATAACGCAGTTCTTCAAGATTTTCAACTCTCCCTCCTTCCCATGTAATGTGCGGTAACGTTTTTCAATATCCCGCCAAACGTTACGTAACATCCAAGTGACCATATTTACCTATAAAGTCACAATTATGTTGAGCAAAGTACTGGCAAGTCGCTAAAGTACCTTTGTTATCGTTTTAATCGCGTTTGCGGTGACAATGAATAAAACAAAAGATTTCCAAGTTTACTTAATGTGCATATTGTTTATTTTCCTCATATTGTTATTCATCAATCACGTATAAGTATGTTAAAATAGGCTTTACTACTAATCTTACATTTGATTACGCGGTTTTTTTATTGGTTCCTGTCCTTACATACATTTTTTGCTTCATCATCTATTGTTCTTCTCATGTTTCCACCTATTTCAGCTTTCATTAATAAACTCTTAAAATAAAATCACATACTTATTTCAACCTTTCGCAATGTAATAAAAAACGAAAAGCTTTCGTACTAAAGTGACTTAATTCAAGAAACGTGATTTGTTGAAAACGAATAAAATGGGCTGAGAACTTGAACAAAATAAGAGTAATATAGAATACAGTCGAGGGATTCCCTGTAAAACATGGAAGGAAAAGGGTTGCCAACTTGGGAGACTTTATGTTCCTAATTCTATATTTGAATAAAAAAAATACAATGTTACATAACACGTTGTTTGAACCTCCCTCCCGCCCCTGTAATGCATCGTAACGGTTTACAAGACCCCCCCTCCCCCCAAATTTCCTTACGTAATACTTGAACGACCCCTAAAGCTCATTATCACAAATTAATTTTGAAAAGCACACTAGTATTTTTTTTGTCACAGACCAAGTCTCAGAATATCCACTGATTTCCTAATTAAATTACAACCAAATGAAATTTCTCATGGTACACTTCTCAAAAAATGAAAAATCCAATTACAGAGCACGTATTCATACTACAAACTCTAAAACCTACTATAAGAAATTCATATTCAATATGAGTTTTACAAGTTCAAAGTCAATTAATGCTGTAGTGAATTTCTCTCGGTTAGAAGTTAAAGAAACTACATAAAACTCATTTTCTCCTTTTGTTAAACTACCTCTCAAGGCGATTCAAAGTATATAATAAATAACTCGCTTATTTTGAAGCAGTGAGTGTAGTCCTCACTATTAAATGAGATCACAATATAATCTGGCTACATTTGCATAAAATTCTGTTATCATTACAAATGGACAAGTTATTGCTAAAATTCTGTTAAATCATCCTCCACTAAACCATCCTTAAATCGTATATCAATCTTTGATAAAACACGCAGGTTTCATCCTACGGTACGGATTGCAGGCAAATATCCCTCGGATTAGAGCGGAAAACTCACGAAGGAGCAGATGAAGAATTCCCAACTAAGTTAGATTATCCTCATTTCAACGTGGTGGTAGCATTCCTGAAAACAATATAATACATTTTCAATTTTTATATCATCAATAAATCTAACCAATATGTCATGATGATGTGTCTTCGACATTGTGAAATAATCAACAAATATGTAAAAATCTGAGTCATCATTTAGATAATACAAATTCCAAATAAATATTTTTACCAGGGTCCAATTTGAGATGAAAAGTTATTCTTGTAAGTGGAATTTTATTTCGATAAACTTTTATGCATATTTCCCAAGGTTAGTGTTAATGAATTGATTAGCGGAGATAACAGGTTCAATCAAGATCTTTCCAATACTTTGTATAATGTAATACTGAAAACTACAATTATCATTCCCGTCTCTAGCTTTTACCTTATCCTTAACAGTTCTTGTTATGGAAAAACTTAAAGCAGTGAATTTCAAGAGGCAATTTTTTTGTTATCCCACTCGCCACAAATTTCAACTTGTCACCCTCTCTGTCGTTTCTACCATCAAACAGGGTTTTCAAATACTTCACTGAAAAAACTGATGAAAAGTTTTCAAATTTAATTCAACTAATCATCTCAACCTTTATCCATGCAAGGAAATACAGACATACCTAATCACAATTTGTTTGAATAAACTAAAATCTATAAGATTATTTAGTTGGCATTCTTAGACGACCAGTGAAAATTTTTGAAATATTTTTCAATAAGGCTGGTCTTCGTTGTATAATCAACACACAGTAACTTTCGTGCTTAAGGCTCAGGAACTTTTAATAGAAATATCAAAAGCAATAACATATAATTTCAGTAATTTCAACTGTAAGCCAGTTTGCTAAAAAGCTTGAATTTATTCTCTATTAGTCACATTTGACCCACAAATTCTCAAAAGTATGATAGTTTCTCCTGTGTTACTTCAAATAGAACTTTCATAGAAGACATCTAAAGATATAAAACAGGATTTTGGTGTGTTGATATCTGTTTCTAAGATTGTATTCATTTATTGAATTGAGAAAACCATTCATTTATTTACCAAGCTCAATAATTAATTTAAGACAAGGAATTTTTTAACTCAAGTTTATTGTTGTTTATTAATCACAATATGTATTTCCTATTATATTTCTTGATAAATAATTTTTTTTTATTATTCAATACCCGTAAGTATCAGGTTTAAAGTTCATTATATGTCAGTTGTTAGTTATTTAAAATAACATTTTCAAGAGTCATTTCACATAAAAAAATTACTCAATAAGTGAACCTTTTATTTTCCTAATCAAAAAAGTAACAGTATCCTTCAAGGTGAAATTTACATACCATTGTTTGTAGCCAACAGTCGATATAAATGCGAATTTGTATTTTCCATCTCGCTAGATTCGATGAAGGTATCATTTTCATTTATTGACAAATGACAATACTGTGAATCTTCTTCCAGATTATAATCATCCAACTCATTACTCATCATATCCTCTACAACTTTATCAAACTCCGTAACAGCATTCTCTTTTATTATGTTATTCTTGTCATTTTCCGCAGAGCCATCATCTCCCAAATCTTCTTCTTTAAACTGATATCCTACCTCAACAGACATTTGGTCAGGGTGTTTTTTCCTCTGATGCTGCAACAATTTAGCTTTGCTGGCATACTGTTTATGGCACCACTTGCAATTTTGGGGCCTTGTAGTTATACTGCCTACAGTTTGAGAGAAAGTAGGATTTGGAAGCCCAGATACTTCTTGCAAAGAGCCCTGTTTTCTATTGCTCATAGGTAACGCAGCACCGGGGTGATTCTTCAATATATGTGCCTTTCTCTTCGAGCTGCTTTTGTAAACTTTATCACAATATTGGCAATAATAGTCACGTGTGGTTTGAAGAATTGGTAAGTTGAGTTCAGGAACAGAGTCAGGAGGAATATCTGGGTGACGTTTAGCCAAATGATTCACCAGCATACCTTAAATATATTTTACATGTTTAGAGTTGTCTGGAAAATCACACAAAACCTATCTAATAATGTTTAGTGAATACCAAATAATAATACCAAAATAATGGCAAAAAATTACAAAAGACTGACATTTTCTCAGTGACTAATGCCTACAGCTATCGGACTGAGTCATGGCCGGTGGGAAAATCGTATCTGCGTAAAGTTTTGATCGGTGTATGACAAAGTATTAGGAAAAAAGGAATAGAAACTGCTACTAAGTACAGAGGTAAATCATAAAATGTATTAGTCAACTTGTTACACCATAGTTCTCAGGACTTTCCGAGATGTGTATTTCAGTTTCTAAAGTATGCCATAGAATATATGTTGTTTTTTATGGAAAATTGTATTTTATATTGTTTGTATGTGTAAATTTGTCTCATGTATAGGCACCATGATAATTAAAAAATCAGCATTTACTAAACACATCTTTACTACCATCTACGTTTTACTATTAGACCTTTTTTTTGATGTAGATTGACTGAAGATACCGGCTAATGTTACCCTAATAACGGAAGACTCATCTCGAGCCCGTAAGATGTTAGGCTTTACACTTCGTTCTGCTAGAGACCTAAGTGTCGAATCTATAAAACTGATTTATTGTGCACAAGTGAGATCCATTCTTGAGTATAACTCCATTGTATGGTCACCCTATTATAATGTTGATGTTGAGTTGTTAGAGGGGTGTCAAAACAAATTCTTGAGATATGTTGCTTTTCAGTTAGGAGGAGAGTATAACTACTCACAGATATTGAACATATTGAACATGAACACCTTAACTCATAGGAGACTTGAAACAGATCTTGTGTTTGTCCGCAAAGTATTAAACGGCTATATTGATTCTCCAGAAATAGTTGAGCTTTGTACTACTCTCTCTGTGAATGATAGAAGAATCAGAAATAGTGATATTTTTAAAATTCCTTTTTGTAGAACCAATTATGGTCAGAATGAAACAATATGTAGGATATTGAAATCAGCAAATCATTACCAACTTAACCTGGAATTGTTTAATTCATCATTATTATCCTTCAAAAAATCGATTAAAAACATCTGATGTATCTTTAGTTTGTAAGCACATGTACAATTTATAAAAAGATATTTGTAAAAATTGGCTTGTCCGTTGAAATAAATAAATAAAATAAAATAATAAAGGGTTGGAACGGTACCACCTAATATTCTTACCAGTTCTGGTCAAACTATACATCTCAGTATAGGCGTACTAATTAATAATTACTTCTGTTAGTTTATAACGCTATTTTTCGGAAAATACTCATCAAAAAATAATAAGTCAGGGTACCATAGGAAGCAGAATTGAATGCCAATCAAAATGATGTGCCACTTGACCCCCCTTCCCATTTAAAATTCTAACGGTAACATCTACCCCTTCTAGGGGGTTGAACTACGAAGGCTACAAATAGTCCTTGAAAGTGCCCCCCTTGATAATAAAATTGACCCGTTTTTTCGATTCCTCATATTATTCACTGGAAGTTTTCAAATTGATAACCTGTATATATAACAGAGAGAGATTTTGTCGACTGTGTATGATACAAATAAAAAATGATATATTAAAATGTGATATTATCTCTAATTTCACCGACGTTTCGACAAAATCTCATTCGTCATTATCTAGGTGTGCTGTTACGTGTTCAGAAGTTTGTTGACCTTGAAATAACAATTTTCACAATGAATTATATTTGAAGCATGTTTACCTACACGGTAGTTTCACCAGTTGGATTGGTACACCTTAAAATATAACCAAGTATAATCTACTGCGAAAACTGTACAGTTATTATCATAGATAATCCATGAGGCGATTTATTAATAATAATTCAACAATATCTAAGTGAATACCTCTTGGAGTTCACCACACATTTGATATTTTGGGGAAGTTCACTGCAAATCATTGAACCAAAATAATAAATTCTTTGCCATAAAGTTTTCACACCTAGAAAAAGCATTTGACATGCTTCCGTTAATTTGAAATATTCCATTTGAGATACTTCGTGCATAGATTTGTTTTATTAAAGTTTCGGTCTTCATTCAATTTAATAGAATAAGTCTAGCTTTTTTTCATTATTTTCCATAGATTCAGAAATTTGGTTATATTTGTAGGTGTACTTGCTCTTTATGTCAGTGTAGAATAACATAAAAAATCTAAACTCTCAAAAATGTGCATTAAAACAGTAGAGAAAATGTGTTGTCAGTCCCTTGCAGCTAATTCTGATTCTTTACGTTTTCATTTTTTCAAAATCAGTTCATCAAATCAATGTAAAATACAACCATGAACTTTATTGTATGCGTAAGGGACAGACTTTTTGTAGCATGCATATTATACCCTTGTCACACTTCCTTAACAAAATACCCTCTCTATACATCTGAAATAAGTATTTTTTTCTTCAATCTATATTTACCTCTCCTTTTGAATCCAACCAAACAAGCGTGACACTTGTATATGAATCTATGAAAATCGGTGGGCTCAACTTTTGGTGTGAATTTCTTGATTTTGTTCCTGTTTGAAAGCTTAGGAATTGTATTTTCCCTTTCTTCTGAATGTACCCTTTTGCAGTGCTCTTTCAACTTATCCTTTCTCTTGAACTGCTTACCGCAATCGGCACATAAAAATTCTCTGTGGTCAGAGTGCCTCAGGAGATGCATACGCAGCTTATCTACTGTTGGGAATACTTTGGAACAGTGTTGGCAATCGTGGGTCCTTTCGCAATGAAAGGCTCTGATATGTTTTCTAATAATACTGTATTTCTAAAAATAATATAGATTATTAATTACTACATAGGGAAAAGCTGCTGATCATTTAATTTGGAAATCATTAAAAAGACCCTCATACATTTAATCATTTTTCAAGAGATTTGTGGGAAAAAATAAAGTTGATCTATGTTGACTGATGTTTTTGAGTTAATAAAATAGATAACAATTTTGATGATAAGTTAATAGCATAAGAAACTAGTTCATAACGCAGGACAATATTGAACAAATGATTCTGGGTGCCCACAGATGTGAGAGCTAATTTCATGGATATAAAAATGTTGCGTTATCAATGTTTCATATGCTATTTTATCACCGACTAGAATGCATTTTATTATTTCATTTAATTCATTCATTTAATGACTGAATCCCATTACAAAAAAATATATAAATAAAATAAATCATATTCATAGTCCACAGTCTTTAGTCTACGAATACTGTTTTTGATAAGTAGTCCTACATTTCCTGATGAATGCTAATTTGGTTAGCAGTATTTTTGTTCTGGTGACGCAAAGGTGTTTTCAATAGAATAAGTGTACTGTTTTATCAAAAATCAATTCAGTCCAGGTGTATTATCCATTTCTAAAGAGTTGTTTGAACTACATTTCTCTCATACTTGGTTAGTCATCTTGAATAGATATGAAAAGTAGCAGAATTGCAAGACTCTAGTATTAGGGGGAAAAATTTCAGAAAATGACTTTTGTTCAATACCACAGAAACTTGGGAAAGAAAGGTTTTTGGCTCTCTACTTCTCCAATCAATTTCAAAAATTAACTCTACAAAGATGTGTAGATCGTGCAAAGAAAATTCTCACATTTTATTTGTATCAAAATGTAGAAGTAGAAAATGTAAACGATTTTTGCAGAGTTCACCTTAAGTTTATTATGTGCAAGCCAATTTGAGTATTTAGAGAGATCTTCATTAACTGTGTTCTCCAGTAAATGTAAATCATATCCACTCTACAAAAGGACCGTGTCATCGGCGAACGTGAAATACCTTCCCTTAAGCCCGGCCTGCCTCAGTGACAGTACCATCAGTGTATAGAACAGGGGCCCCAAAACGGAACCCTGTGGTACGCCACAAATATTTTTAATATGCTCACTCATGCTCTCACCAACAACGACAAACTGGGATATTTCGTTTAAAAATTTCTCAATGAGAGAATAAGTTTTGCCCCTTATATCCATGCAACATAGTTTGTTCAGAAGAACAGTATGGTCAACAACGTCAAATGCCTTTCTTAAATCAATGAACACTGCAATAACCATTCTTTTTTTATCCAATTCCGATATAATATTATGAATGAAATCTATGGTAGCGCTTAGAGTGTTGCTACCCTTGATGAAACCATACTGATACTCATCAAATCCCACATAACGATCAACAAAGTCTATTATTCTTGTCTTTATTATAGTTTGAATATAGTTCAGAACAGTTCCGAATTATAAAGACCTAATATCTTAGATACACTGACAGAGATGTTCGGTGATAAATAAATATGCAGGGGTCTATGAATATCCTGATCAATAACAATGATTGATGGTTTTTCAATAATGTACGATTATTTATGTCGCTCACCCTGAAAATCTTCTTGCAGTGCGGACAGGTGAAGGTATTGTTATGACAATGAATAGGAACATGGCTTTTGAGTTTCAGGACATGATCGAAACTCTCTTTGCATATAGGGCATTCAAAAACTTTCTTTCCAGCAAAGTGAGTTTTTATGTGGCAAGCCAAAGCAGAATTGTTGAGAAATCTCTTCTTACATGTTTTGCATTGCAAAGGTTTGGATTCTTCAGAACCGTGAACTAACATATGTTTCTGAAAAATAAAGATCATTATTTGAAACCGAATTATTGAAGACGGTAACAAACAAGTAAAATTACTTACTTGTAACCTTTCACGTTGAGAAAACATTTTGTAACAAACGGGGCATTTGACTCTCTCTGACTGAACAACGTTTTTAGGAAGAGCATGTTGCATAACATGCAAAACGAGTTGTCGTTGGGTAGGATATTTTCTTTGGCAACCTGGACACACATGATTTCGCTGTTCATCAGACGAGTCTGGATCATGTTCTAAGTTGTGTATTTTTAATAAAGCTTCAGATTTGAAAATTGTAGCACATACATCACATCTGAAGTTCCTAAAAAAAATTATATTTTAAGTCTCTTTACCCTTCTAAACCTTGACAAAAAAAGTAAAATATTCCAATGTTAACTTACAAAACAACAGTGAAATAATCTTCAACAGTTCCTTTGGTGAATCCGTGCTTCTGAATAACATGAAGTTTCAAGAAGCTGTAGTTGTACTGAAAAAATACTTCCTGACAAACGTTGCACTCAACCGTTTCAGTCTGATATCTCTTGAAAAATCTTTTTTTATTTCTGTTCAACTTTCTTTTTGGTTTTATATTTTCATCTCCATCATCGTCGTGAATGTTCAGATGGTTCTGTAATTCTTCAGAACACTCAAATTTCAATGTACATTCATAACACGGCCAAGTGCGTTCTTCTTTGGGCTTCAAAACTGCTAGATTATAGAGCTCAGCATATGCACTACTATATCCAACCTGAAACAGTATGTAATGAAATATTTGTAAAACTGTACAATCAGATTAGACTAGCGGTTCCCAAACTTTCTCTTTCCGCGACCCATTTTAGCCCATACGTTTTAGCGGCGACCTCCGTTTTAGCACAGGTGTCTGTGAAGTGGGGGAACAAAGGTGGAGGGGCTAGCTATGGCAGAGGCACTGGGCGGGGCGGAGGGGTGGGGAGCGTCCAGTTCGGGTTGGGCAGTGGCTAAAGCACATACGTGTTTTGTTTGCTCGTGTATTGTTTGATTTTGTTCTATGGATAAGTTTGTTAAGCGTGCAGGGCCTTTGACTTCTCATGATGATCATGAACAGAAAAGGAAAAAGGTGAGAAACTATAGTGACAGTTATATTAAGTATGGATTTACGGAACTCGGAAATCAGCCACAATTTGCATCGAGTTGTTATCGATCGACATTATGAAACCTTCTAAGATGATTCGTCATTTAAAAAGTAAACATCCCAGTTTTAAATATACGCCAGCAGATTTTTTGAAAGTAAATTAACTGCTTTAGATTACCAGAAAAATTCAGTGGTTCAGTTAAGTGGAAATAATATAAGCAAAAGTGCTTTGGCTTTACGAATAGCAAAGAAATGTAAACCACACACAATTACTAAAGAGCTTATTCTCCATGCTGCTCAGGATATGGTTTCAACTTTGATCAGCCCAGATGCAGCTAAGAAACTTTCCACCATCCCTCCGTTGAATTTGGTGGGGAGGCACATTGCCAAGATAGCTCAAGACATAAAGGATCAGTTGAAAACAAAGTTGCAGGAAAGTGAGTACTTTTCCATTAAAGTTGACGAGTCTACGGACGCAGTTTATGTGCTTTGTTCGCGTTGAGGATTACGGTAGTGTGGAAGAAGACATTTTACTTTGCAAACCTTTGCCTGACCACGCAACAGGTGAATAAATGTTTAAAATGTTCATATCTGCTACCGGTTAGCTTCAAATTGCATATTAGCTTCAATCTGCAGTAATGATGCCAATGGAACGGTTGGGAAAGACAGCGGTTTCGTGAGATGGATGAAAAATGTCACGCCTAATGCCACTTGGGTTCATTGATTTCTGCATCGCCAGGCATTAGCTACCAAGATCATGCCCACTGAGTTATAAACTGTTAAGTTGGTAAATTTTGTAAAAAGCCGGCCATTACAGTGTCGACTGTTATGACAGTTATGCGAAGAAATTGAGGCACAGAACAAATGCCTCTTGCTGCACAGAGTGACAACGAATGGCTGTTAAAACTTGCTTATTTAGCGGACATATTTCATCATCTGAACGATATCAACGTTTCCTTGCAGGGAAGAGACGAAACCATATTTTTTGCACAAGGCAAAGTCAATTCGTTTTTAAGGAAATTAGCCTTTTGGTAAAACGGGTTGAGAAGAATATATATGAAAACTTTGAACTGACAAATGAGCTTATCACATCCCTTGATGGAAGCAATTAATATTATCTCGACACTGACAACTTGCACAAACTGGTTATTACTCACGTACAAGGTCTACAAGAGCAAATCCTTAGCTACATTCTCGACGATCAACACACCAGTTGGAACTGAATGCTTAACCCCTTCAACGAGCAGAGGCAGACTTAAACCCACTGATTCATGACTACGCATCGAGCTATTCTGTGACAAGACTTTGCAACTGTCCTTCAGCACAGAGAATGATCGAAGAAAGGAATGCAAGGAGAGCGGGGACTTGTTTGATCTGGAAGCGCAGCCATGAGAGCAACAATCTCGGCAACAAGAAGACTCACGAAGAGGCGACGGAAGGCATGGGTAAGCTCAATGTCACATGGGACATAATGAGAATGGGTAGTAAGAACGAAGAGAGAAACAGAATCAAAGAACGAATTAGGGCAGAGTGGCAGAGGGAATGGGACCTGGGAGAGACTAAGCGGCTGTTCTACAGATTCCATAGAAGAGTCGGGTATGAATCACTGAATCTGTCACATAAGGCCTCCCAGCTGCTTTCAGGACATTGTAACTTCCCAGGATATCTTGCAAGGTTTAACCTGGGCCCGGAGTTTCCATGTTTCTGTGGCTATGGTGAGCCTGAAACGACGGAGCATGTGATAGACTGGATGGCGTGAATGGAAATATCAGGAGCGGGAAAATGGAGAGATAGCATTGAGAGGAGAGAACGGAAGGAATAGCGAATAGATAAGGTTTGTTAACGAATGAGCCAAGAATGTGGTGATGGATGAACGGGGATAGTGAAGGGCAGGTTGTCAGCTTGGCGCCATTGAACTGGGGGGTAGACAATGATCTCCCCAATGATAGTGCACATAAAGATTGTAGTGGCATCGGCCTGCTAACATGTAAATAATTGTTAGAATTTATTTTGTTTATATTGATGGAATAATGTATTAGATTTAGTTTGGAGGTTACTAATTGTAAAATTGTAATTACAATTGTGATTTTTTTGAAATAAATTTGAAAAAAGGGTCTTCTGCCCCCGCTGGTTCGCCCTCTGGTATGGTCGACGTCACGCGTCGGTGGCACGTAGAGGGGGTGAGTTCGAAGGAGTAGGAGTTCCCTTGACAGTGGTGGCGATAGATAGGGGGAAGAAGCTCGATTGTAAGGCTTTCATCCAGGGCAATATAGAGCGATGGCACTTTTCATGTCCTTCAGCACCCAAGATTTTGACAAGTTCTGGCTACAAACAAGATCTGGGTATCTATGCTTAACATCAGTGGCTTTGAAAATCATCATGCCCTTTGCAACATCTTACCTCTGAGAATTCGGATTTTCTATGTTGGTTAACATTAAAACCAAGGCAAGAAATCGACCTTTTTGTATATGTATCTAAAAACTAATCTAAATTTTAAGAAACTTGTTGACAAAAAAAAGTCCCACGTTCCTCACTAAAAAAGTCGTTTGTACTTAGAAATTTATTAACAATTACACATCAAAATTATTAAATAATTCTGTTTTGTTTTGACTAAATCTGTGAAATATATTCATTTATTTATTAACGGGTAACATTCAATTAAGTTTAAGAGATTTCACATAAATTATATGAATGCAACAAATAATTACATCTAACTTACTTTCTAAAAGTAAAACTAATT